GAGCAAGACGTTTTCCACGCTGACCTTTGAGAATTTGTTTCAATCTGTGGGTGAGGAGAGGGGGTCTGCAGGGGTATAAGAGTCAATTTAAAAAAATGGGATCGACTTCGAAACCAAGACCTTATTCTGTCAGTGGATCGGGAACCCTGGGATCGACAAGAAAGAAGGAAAGAATACGCAGAAAGAGCACGCTGACCGTGTAAACCATAAAATAAATTTTTATTGAAAATTAACAAAATAAATAATCTACTGTACAACATAATAAAATCAAGAGGTTGTCTAATGCTCTCGAGCCAGAGGATCTAGGCAACTAAAGGTGTAATGGCAGGTTTAGCCACCCAGGGGGCGCTCTTCCTTTGCATTCCTGTAACCCAGGGGTATCAAGCTCCAGTCTGGTCAGATCTTCCTATTTGTTCTGCAGCCACACTCTTGGCTACTTAACCAAATCAATTATTTGCCTCAGTAGCTGCACCCCTGCCCCACCCTGCCCTTGGGTTTCCTTGTTGGCGGGGGCAGCCTCTTGTCTGTGTCTGTGAGGGCGGTACTGTGAATGTAGTGCCATGACGTTCCCTCCTGGTTCCAGGGCACGGCCCTCTCTCAGCACGGCCGGGTGATGGGGAGTGTCCTGAGGACTGGAGCAGGGGTGTGCTTGTCATCCAAGTCCGAGTCGCAGTTACTGTGCAGGCCTGAAGAGTTTGCTTGTGGGTATGGTGCAAGAGACTCTCAGACCCCCTCGTGCCCCCCAGCACCAGGACAATCAGTAGGGTAGTGTATTGGTACATCACTGACTCGGTGGGAGACCCATCTGGCTAAGGAAGCCAGGATCTCATTTCGAGAGCTGTGAGCTTGGGCAGCTGCTTAGAGACACCAGTCCGTGACCTGCGCACAGACCATTGCTGAATGTCAGTGCAGACAAGGCTACTGAGCGTCCACACCACTTCACCCCTTTACTCTCCCTTACAGGCCCAGCTGCCCGACAGGAGCGTTTGATTCATCACGTTTATGCATTGATTATTGACACTTAACTTTGCGTCTTACTTGACCACACCTCTCTGTGCCTTCTCATGGTTCCCAGTGGTATGACTGTGCTGTGCTACAGCTGAGTTAACCAGAGTATTGCAGTAGCATACAGGGGTGGCAGCCCAGAAGTGTGTTAAGAATGATTTCGGCTAGTCTGATGTTTTTGAACTTACTACCAGTGGAGCTGTTTTAGATGATCAGGTGTTCCAACTGTGTCTCTTTGATGATGGCTTTCTGTAGCAGGGAAGCTTGCTATAAACCAGCGTCTTGCTTGTACTCCGAAATCAAGGGGCTGTATTTGGGCCTGGAAGTGCCAAAATGAGCAGGTTTGTCAAGTTGACCCGTGCCTAAGTCTTAATAAACAAGACAGACAAGAGTGTGGCTGGAGCAAATCCTGAAGACTCTGACTCTTCATGGGACCAGAATGTGCCTGTTTGGCAAATCTTCCTTGGTGGGCAAAGGACTTGTACCAGCCCTGTTGGCTAAAGTTACTGCCAACAGCTCAGACACAAAATAGGTTGCATAATTTCTACTATAAACAGCAACAACAACAACCCCGAAAAAAAATAGATGTACTGTGGAAAAACACCCAGAGAAACGAGAGGAGGAGCTCCGATCTACCCAAACCGAAGCACGAGCCATTGAAAGCGCTGAGGGACGATGGCGTGCTGTTGGTTCGCCGGCACGTGCCCGAGCCCGAATCCAAAGCCGCGTTTCGCCAGACGCATCAGCTGGCATGCAGGGGGCTGCTGGGACACGGAGGCCCAAGCGTCAGTCAGAGCCGAGACAGCCAATCAGCGCCCGGAAGCCCCCAGGCAGACAGCAGGAGCACTCACACAGTGGCAGGACAACCCTGATGTTCGGTGACCCGGGCTTGACCTGGCCTCGAGGGGGGGGGGTCACCGGCACAGCAGGTCACATGGGCTTCAGCGGGCGTGATCCCTTGCCAACACGAGGAGTCGGCTCAGACGAGGTCGTCATCGCTACCTCTGTCGCCTGCCTCTGTCCCACAACACTGTCCTGTGATTTCGGAATCAGATGAGCAGGCAGCGCCTCCGATCTGAGACTTAACCAAAGTGTGTTTTCATTGTAATGGACGCTTTTAGCACAGTTTTTCTGTACACAGTACGTTGTAGTCACTAATTGCCCTGCGTTTCCACTGGCTTAAGGTCTTTTCTCCCCCTCGGTGCACTGCTTTGCTTCACTAGTATAATTATCACGGTAACAACCGCTCTCCTCGCTCATCGCCCCAGGCTTTCACTTTCTCGCCAACCTGTCCTCTCGCCTCAGCTCGTTCCAGCTCTTTTCAGACTCTGAAACATGTCGCCCCTCCCACACCGGGCTCCGGCGGTTTCCCCCGCTCAGCTCGCGCGCTCCAGATCGCTCTGGGACTCGAACCGTGAGCGGGGCAGGACGCTGCGTTTTCCTGACGCTCCCAGGCGCTGCGGCTGCCGTTCGCCATTCCCACGGGCTCAGGCCAGGGCCACGGGAACACAAGTTGAACCACACGAAAAAAAAAGAGATAATAGCACCAGAAAAAAAAAAATCTCTAAAGGAAGGTTTGAGGCAGACCCTCTGCTGCCCCCCTCAGGCCGGTCCGTGTTACTGCAGCTCGTGTTGCACTGCAGAGGGGTCCGGACAGGTTTTGGCAGAAGAGAAGGAAATTATTGCTGGATAGAGGATGGCTGGGGGTAGGGGTATGAATTGTGGGGAGGGTGAAAGTGGGGTAGGTAGGTGGTGGTGGGGAAGGTGGGGGGCTCTCACTTTCCGCTGTGATCCGAATCGTCTTTGGTACTGCAGGAGCTGCTTCTTCTCCGGTGCTGGGACAGGCGCCTCTCGCTGGCTCTGTCTTCCTGCTCTGCAAAGAAACGGGCCGTGCAGATGATCAGTCTGGGCACACCCTCTTGCGCATGGTCTTTAACAGTGTGTTAATCCCTAACCCAACGTTAGTCGCCTCGGGACAAATAAAGGTTTATTCCCTGCTGAAAAGAGAAGAAGAGAAACACAATGTTTCAGCTGTGGAGCCTTCTTCGGGCGTGAATCACAGCCAAAACGTTGTGTTTCTTTTCTTCTCTTTTCAGCAGGGAATAAACCTTTACTTGTTCCTTTGCAGGCTACGCATGCTGACGCAGCTCCCTGCTTGAACTACGTTAGTCACCTTGGCTTATCTGGAGCAGATGCCATTGTGAAACCCCTGTTCCACGCTGTCCGGTCTTTTTAGTTCCACTAGTAAGCCCAAAAACTTGCAAACAGCCGAGCGTGCTGTTGAACAGCAGACTGACAGAGATCAGTGCACTGTGGGCCTGCAGCAGAGCAACACTTTGCAGTTAAAGGCTCATGATAACCTAATTGAGGATGAGTGGAGGACTGAAACCCAGTGGCACCTGCAGCCTTGTGGGTCAGAGCTTGCTGGACCCTCACTGACCATCCTCATCATTGTCCATGAGAGCGTGCTCCTTTCTGCGTGCATACCAAATTTTACTGCTCTTTGACGATCAATTTTCTTGACACCTTTATTTCAAGATGCTGCTTTTCTTTAGCAGTGCCCTGTAAGAACAGCTCTCATGCTGGATGTGTACGTGTCTGACCCTGTAGTATCCCCACACAGTAATACGCACTCAGCACAAGCACAGATCTCAGCAGGGATGAATACAGCTGTTTCTGGTGTGGGTCAGCCTTGTGCTCAGATGCGTGTGTGTTTACCAGGTCTATACCAGGAATCGATGGTGTGTTTTGTGTCTCCTTTTAAATATGGGAGGGCTCTGACTCGATACAGAGACTTTCCAAAGAGCAGAACACAAATGCCCAAGATATTGCAGCTGGGGAAATGTGAACATCTTAATCATAATGCCTTAATCTGCCTGAGCAGCTGGGTGCAGGTCTTTGAAACAGACCCCTTCAGCATGCATGGAAGGTGCCTTTCAGCGCTGCTTTCCGAATCAGGGAGCACATAATATCAGGAAACAGAGCGAGACAGGAGGGGGAGAGAGGGGAAAGGCTGATGAGCAGAGACGTCATATTCAAATAAAATAATTCTCCTGCTTTTTCTAAAAAAAAAAAAAAGAATCTGAGATGGCAACCAGCTCCCTGCCCACAGCTTTTTTTATTTTTACACCACTGTGCCATGCGAAAGCAGCTCTCAGTTACTCCCCTCCCACCACTACCCACCCACACACATCCCCCCCTCCCCTCCAGCTCCCTGCAAACCCCCGCCCACAGACACACGTCTGTCTCCCTCTGCTCTGACGTCAGGGGGGGTTTCCAATTCAACACCCCCCCCCCCCCCCTCCGCCTCCCCCTCCCTCTGCCGCCCCCCTCCCCCCAGCTGAAGCTAGAATTAGCTCAGGCTGAAACACACTGAAGGAGACTCTCTGCACAGCCAGAGAAAAGGCAATTAAGAAGAAGAATCTGCCTCAGAAGGAAGGAAGAATGAGAAAAACAGAGGCCACTTGACAGAGGAGTACAGCTCTTGAGTCGTCCTGAATGAACTGTTCACCAGTACCAGTGCGAGGTCTGTCAGCACCGGTGCATAACAAGCCTCTCCTCTCGCTACGAGGCCCAGCAAGATCTACAGCCGAGAACGTTTACACCCGCAGGGCAGGACACTGACAGGCACCCATTCGCAGCAGACAGGGCACACCTCGTGCAGGAAACCCCAAAACAACTCACAGGAGTCACCCCTCCTTTCCTGTGGTTTCCCTTAGCTTGAGCCATGAGACACCGAAAGAGAGGTTTCTAAGGAAAGTCTTCTATTATAGTGCACCTGGGCCACTGATGCCAGGGTGAATTCACTAGGAACAACACCACCCAGGAAGTAAGTGTAGTTTAAGGTTTTATGGAGTGTTTCATCAAAATTCGGCTTAACCAAACAGGGCTAAGGGCTAATCTCCTGGCCGCAGGAGGAGTATGCTTGGACCACCATGCAGAGTGAGGGGTGACCAAGGGGCAGCTGCAGAGCTGAAGGTCAAATGCTCACAGAAATGCGAAGTAAATAAGGGAATCGCGGACAGTATTTATAGCGTTTTAGGAGAGGAAATGATGTCAGAAGTGGTTGTGATTTTGTGACTGCTCAGTCTGATTGAACTTGGTTGCTGTCACCCCTTCTGAACTTTCATTATAAGCTCCATTCAACAGGAAGTGAAAACAAGGTGCTAAAACACAATAAATACATGTGGGGAGCCCTCATTACAGAGATGTGGCCCTCCCTGTCTGTGAATTCCTGGAATCCTGGCATGCAAGAAAAAAAAGCAATAGGCTCTGGGTATCAGTATGATCAGTAACAGTAATTCCCGGAATTCATTTCTCGCATCAGTATCACCTCTGACCCCCCCTTCCCCAACTCACCCGCAGCTTGGACCACCACTGTCATTCCTGGGCTGACCCGGCCCACGTTGTCATGTGACACCAGCCTGGCCAATCGCAGCCCCTCGTCCATGAGAGTCTGCTGCATGAGGTGCCGGCTCCAGGCAGAGGGAGCAGCCGCAGTGGCGGGGGGGTCAGCGGGGGGGCAGGGGGACGAGGAGTGGCTGGACTGGGATCCCACACCTGAGGGGTCGGGCAGACAGACAGGGTCACTAGCTGTGTTGTGGACACTGGAGAGGTGCTGTTACATTCTGTGAGATGACAGCCAGTCAGAACCTCCCTGCATGACTGCTGGAGAATTTATACTGATGTACACTACACTGATGTAGAAACTAGTGTACACGCTAACATAACAGGTCTTAATTCACAATACTCTTATTACAGGATGAAAGGCAGAAGGGGACTTGAACACACCTTATTTGGCTGTTTTGCTCTGTGCCTGAAGTTTGCAGAACCTCACTGTTGTGACAAATACACAGGAAAATATAAAAGTCACACTTTTCATACCTCTTAGGTAGCTGGTACAATTTTCCATATTAGGAATTCAAGGCTTTTTAGTTGTATAGCTTAACATCAAGCAGGAAATCAAAATGATTAGGTCATATGTTTCCAGCTGCGCTATTTTTATCTAGTTTGTTTTGACTTTGGCTTTGCTTCGTGATTTAAAAATTCAAATAGCTTCATTAAACAGCATTCCTTTGCCAACCAGAAAACCACAGGCAGTGTTATGTACAGCTTTGCCATATTAAAATATATAGCCTCCAGAAGACAGCAACATCACTGATGTGTGCATCTACATCACGCCCTGCCTAATTCTCTTGGCCAAGCTTCCAGATATTCTCTTGGCCAAGCTTCCAGTGTTTGAGTAACCTCCATTTTCTGAATGGTGTTTTGCCTTTTTTTCCCCAAAGCAGGAATAACTGGTAGGTTAAGTCGTTCACATGGTTTAAAGTGCCAGAGATTAACCCTGTTTGTGCAGCATCAAGAGCACTGAGAGCATGAGAATAACACCCACAAAATTACAGTCCATCACAGCACAACTGCTAGTGAGTACTGTTGGAGCAGATATGTTCAGATGGAGTGACTGGATTAATCTATGCAAAATATCGCACTCAAAAACACAACAGCAATCTCCCCAGTGAGCACTCGAACCAACAACCCTCTGGTAACGGGTCCCGAGCACTAACCACTGCCCCTGAAAGCAGCCATCATCTCAGAGCGACCAGAAGCCGTCACTGATAAGACTGGAGAGGGTGCAGACTGTGAAGCCCTGGCTGAAGCTGGAGATACGTGCCCTACCCTGTGCGTGCCCATCCAGGCTCTCTCCAGACAGGCTGTCTTCGTCCGCGCCGTGTCTCAGCACCCCCTGGTGGTAGCTCTCCGAGCCGGTGGGCTGCCCCTCCGCCACATCGTGAGAGGAGGAGACGCACTCTGATATCACCACCTGCAACACAGCGCAGGGCAGCCAAGCCACCCAGTCAGACTCCTGCGGGCCAGGGGGCTTGAGCTGTCAGGGTGGTCCGGCAGCACGCGGGTGACTCGGAATGTCTGCATGTAGGCAGCGTTTGAAGTCCTGTCAGTCCAGGAGTGGACGTGCGGTCACTCAGCCACTGTCTCGGGCGAGTGCCTTCATCTTCATCGCTGTCGAACCCATTCCAGGCCTCCAGGGCCATGGGTCCCAGGGTTTCCATTACTGGGTCTCACTAATCTTTTGTATGCAAAGTCAAATCTCCTGCATTCAAAGGTCTTAATCACTGGCCAGTGGAAGGACATTTGCCAATCCTGCAGGACTGTGGCCCTCCGGGATACATTACAGACAATGAGTCATTTCACATGCATTTAATACATAGCACCGGCCTCTCTGGCTCTCTCTCTGCAATAATGGAAGGGGTCTTGCCTCTGTGTCACAACAGGTGATTAACCCACAAGCATTTATCCCAGAAACATTCACTGGGAAAAAGTCAGGACAGCTGGACAAGGAGCACTGAACACGATGGTACCGAAACTCAGTGCCTTTAGGGCTGGGAACGAATTGTGCTTCTTTACGCAGAGGGTGGCAGGTGCCTGGAACACGCTCCCCAGCCACATTGGCGAAGCACGTTTCCCAGAGCCCTCAAATAAATCTGGGCCAGATAACAAAGATCAGCAAGATAACTAGAGACCAGAGAAGCAGGGTGGGCTCCCTTTTCTGTGAAGCATATATTTCCTTTTCCGTATTTGCTTGCCTGACAAACTCCTGAGTCATCTGAGAGCACTGTTGTGTGTCTGTGGAAAGGATATATGCATAACATACAGTACACGTTTCTCCACTGCAATAAAAGCCCGTAATGTAATTATAATAACACTCCGTGACTCATAAATGAAGACTGACTCCACTGACCTTTACTTCTCTCCCCCAAAGTGCTAACCCACGCTCCCCTCTCTGCTGACCGATTCCGCTTTCGGAACGCGTCTCAGCACGTCAGCGCAGACCCCCACGTACCTCCTGTTTGATCTTCTTCTGGGCCGGTAGGGGGCAGTCCTCCATGCTCGTCCTGCGGGGGGAGGGATGGAGAGGGGGTGTAAGTGACTGCTAGCCTGGCTCAGAGGATCCTCAGGGCCGAGGTGTGGCAACGACACGAGTGAGCCGCATAGCCCGCACGGCGTCAGGGCAGGGGTGGGCACCCCACTGGTCACAACGGAGTGTAAGTGTTAAAAAAGATTAGTGAATGGAGTACAGAAATAATTTTGCACATTTTAAACATTCATGTCTCTGTCAAACACGCCTGTGCTCTTCCCCTTACAAGATGCTTCTCCTTGAACAGATAGATGCCTCCCCTACATACTGTATTATTCTCTTTGAGAAAAGATGACATTATGTCTGAGAAGCCCACTCCCCCCGACAGGAACTCCTTACAGTTTTACAGTTAAAACTCCTTACCCCCCCCAGACGGGCAGAGATTTGAGAGGGACGCCTTTATCCCAGCTCAGATCAGGGGTTCGAGACTAAACGGTTTCTGAGCCACTCTTCTGGTCTTGTTAAATCAGGGCCAGGCAAAGAAAAGCAACAATGTCTTAATGATAAAGCTAATAATAGTAATCTGTATGTCCAGCGTCTTTCTTTCTTCAGGTTATTCTGAAGTGCTGTACGATAAAAACTTAGGAAACAAAACCATATAAGAATCAGACAAAATACAAAAAGACACATCTACAATGGAGCAGGAGGTTTTAAAGAAGAGATTCCCCAAGAGGGGCGAGGTGATTTCCTCTGTGTCCTTAAAGGCCAGGAGCAATGTGTTACAGTCTGTAAGAAAAGCCAGGGTAGCGAACAGTATGAGTGCTGCTGGCGACAGTCAGGTGCTTGCAGCCAATGCTGAACCTCGTGAAAGTCAGCACAGAGAGGTTCAGTGAAGCACTCAGGTTAATGTATGACACCAGCACAATAAGCCTCAGAAATACCAAAGCCTCTTTTCTGAACGATGAGCACAAGCAACGGTTCAAGCAGTATCTCTGCTTACCAGCTGGTGATTTAGTTTCGCAACGCGATCTTGATGGAGCCTTGCACATGGCAGCTGTGACACAAACCAGAGCACGCAGCAGGCTAGTTTAACGTGCCGGGCTGCGTGTGACAGCAACTCACAGACGTGCAGGTGGAGACAAAGCTTGAACCCCACAATGCACGCTGGCCGAACGCACAGGGGGACGGAGACGGCGTCGGCCGGCGGGCGGGCTGCGGGCGGGGGCGGGGGGGCGGCCACCGACCTGGCGTTCTTCAGCGTGGAGGTGTAGGCGCACTCCCGCGCCACCTGCCTGGCCAGCGAGAAGAGCTCCACGCGCCGCAGGAGCAAGGCGTTGTCGCGGATGCAGAACTGGGCGGCGGCCTCGTTGATGATCATCTGCAGGGAGACGCAGGAAGCTCACGCCCGGGTCTGGCACGCGCAAGGGAGGACCTTCGCCCCCTCCTCCCACAGGCCAGACAAGCCGGCTCACCAGTTATATCACACCACACACCTGCATTCCAGCCACTCCTTCACACTCTTTCATGCTGTCTGCGATGTAGCTTGAAAGGCTAGTTAAGAAAAGTCAACTAATCATCCAATGGATAGATTGATTGATTGATCGATCGATTGATTGTAAGGCTTCTTGGCTTGAAGTTCGGCAATGGGAAAGGTTCAAGTTATAGGAAAGGAAGGCAGAACATAGTGGCTTCCGTTTTACAGTGTAATGGGCTGTTAAAAAAATTCAATATCATCACTGAGGTCTCTATCTCATTCCGTGCTGCGCGTGAGCTTCAACTTCAAATTGAAATCAGCTCCGGAGGCTCGGGAAGAACACAAATGAGCCGATCTGTCGTGCGATTGCAGCAGCACCCTGCCGGAGCGTGTTCAGTCTTGCTACAGCGCCGCGTTACTCATACGCCTCATAGCGCAGGTCCTCCTTGATAAATCATTCACACCTGCGCCTCAGAGCGTGGAGAAGAGCCGCAGACGCAACTGCTGGCATGAATTTTGAAAACGCCTGGTAGAGATGTCGCTGACCAAGTGATACACCTGATACACACAGGACTTATGTCACAGGGAGTACTCTAATTGCAGATACTGGCTCCTGAAGCGTGGCTCTGCAGCTGTGTGTAAAGGAGACGTGCTGTTAGACAGCCTTCAGAGTGCATCCCTGCCCCACTGTACAGCAGCTGTCCGACTCACAGCGAGTGTGGGGGTCTGTACAGTGACAGCAGGAGATCGCAGTGGCATGTTCTGCACGTCATACTGTATTTCGAATCTTCCCAGCTTCCCTTGGCTTCACCCAAGAACTAATCTGTTTCTGCTACAGACCCCCCCCGCTCCCTCCCCCCAGCTAGCGTCATGGTTTGCAGCAGCTCTCCGCTGCACCACGCTGTGTCTGCCTGCTCTCCGATTGGACCATATCCCACCCCGGTGCTGGAAACCCGAGGACGGGGAGCTGTGATGACTCAGGGCTGCGAAGCCTGAACACGCAGGAGGCACAGGGGACACAAGCAGGCTGAGCCCCGTGCGTCAGGACGGCGAGCCGCACCTCGTGGTGAGTCAGCTGCTTGCCCTCCCGCCGCTTGGAGTCGAAGCGCCCGTAGATCAGGCTGTACTTGCGGATCTCCTCCTCCTTGGCCGGGTCGCCGGGCTCCAGCCCGAAGATGTGCCCCACCGTCTTGGCCAGCTTCTTGTTCAGCTTGAGCAGGGCCTTCACCTCCCCGGGCTCGGCCCGCGGCACCGTCCGCAGCAGGCGCGCCACGCTCTCCGCCACCGCCCGGGCCGTCTCG